ATAAATGTTTACTTTGATATAATTAAACATATAAACTACACGTCCCGTGCAACACACGGGTTAAGAATCTAGTTACATCAAACCAAATAGATTTTTTTTACCACATCAAACCAAGAGGTGTTTGGAACTGATTCCGCTTATGCTTCTTTTTTAAAGTAGAAGCAGAATCAAAATCAGTTTTCAGAAGTTGGTATCCTCAACTTCTAAATAAACTGATTCTTAGAGTAAATTAGAGCACCAGAAGTGCTTCTGGAATTTCACCCAAACACTCCAGCTTCTGCTTCTGCTCCCTTAAAGAGCAGAATCAGTTTGAGAATCAGATCCAAATACCCAAATAGATACGACCACTTTAAAGATAAAATTAGATATCATATCAAAATCGAGATGGGAAAATGTATCTTAACGAGTGGGAAATAGCGTATCACACATAAAGCACTGCCTTTTTTTTTTTTTTACTATACTTCATTACGGATTGGGATCCTCTGCCTTAAGGCAGAGGTGCCTTACTCAAATGGACGGCACAGATCAAAAAGTAAGCCTCGAGATTCGTGCAAAAAATGGAGCCCTTCATCTTCAACCCTTCATTTTTTGATCTGATGGATGAAAACAGCCAGGCACCCTCCTTGGCTGCTTAACCAAGGCAGAGACGCCGGATCCCTTCATTACTACATACAGAGAATAATAAAAGCTGTGTGGAAGACAGCACCCGTCCTTCTTAGGTGGGATTTTCATTTCACGGGCCTCTCTCTCTTGCATCGTCGTCTTCTCTGGTTCACTGATTCGATTGGCTTCTGCAATTTTTCCTCGATAATTTATTAAGACTTATCAGTAACCATGGATGCTGATTCCTGGGCCGCTCGTCTTTCCTCTACTTCCAGGCGCTATCAATCTGCTTCCCAGTCTCGATCTGGTATGTTTTCCTGCTCCTTTCTTTGGGTTTTTGTGCAATATCTGGTCTTTTCACCTGGAGCTCTTCGTTTTTCACATGCGCCTTCCTGGAAATTCAATGAACGAAAGCTTTGACCTTTTAACCCTTTTGTTTTTGGGGGAGGGATATAATGCTTTCTGGGATTTTTTTATTTTATTTTTCTGGGATTTTTTTATTTATTTTGAATCCATTTGTTTACGTGTGTTGTGCTAGGGATGAGATGGGATGGAATCGATTCGGAAATGTTGATAGGATTCGAGGAAACCGACATAGTGGAAGATGATGTCAGAGAGGAGTTTCCATGCCCCTTTTGTTCTGAATACTACGACGTTGTTGGATTGTGCTGCCATGTTGATGATGAGCACCCTGTTGAAGCCAAGAACGGGGTATTTGTTTTTCTTGATGAATAATGAAGTAGATCTTTGTTTTTCTTTTTAGCTTCAGAAAAATGGGATAAGAGTAACAAACTGCTGACTCTGGTTGTTGTGAAAAGTTCTGTTTTTTAATTATCTGCTGATCTACAGGATATGCGTATGGTAATTGTTTAAATTGAATGTGTATTTTTTCAACCATTTTCTCTCTTTTTATATACAATAAACACTGCTATGGGCAATCATCTCATTGAGGGAGGGGTGGGGGTTACATCATTGCATACTGCTTGCTCAAAATGGTAAGGGTATGTGCAAAGCCTGAAACTTTTTTGTTTCTTTGTTGTGTGTCTATTGACATTTTAGGATGCCTTTCACACTGTAAGTTTAATTGCTAATCTAATTTATGAAGCTCTTGTGTTATTAATGGCTTATGTTAACTAGAATGATTACACTTCATGAAGCAAAAGCCTTGTTTTTTGTGTTTTTTAAAACTGGGTTGTCTTTGTTAACTAAGAAGGAAATTGATATGTCTTCTTTCCGATTTTTCTTTCTTTGTTTCATCCAGGATTTATCTTCTTTATAGTATTTCATCCAGAGTTCCAGAGGTGTAGGTTTTCTGTCAGAGTTTCATGATAAATTTTCATCTTTTTCAGGTATGTCCAGTTTGTGCAACAAGGGTGGGGGTTGACATGGTTGCACACGTTGTATTGCAGCACGGGAACATCTTCAAGATATCCTTTTTCTAGCCTGCCATGATAAAATAATCCTTTAATTTCTCTTTGCTCTAGCAATTTTCTATTTCCTTTTGGTCCTCGTTTATATAGTCATTATTATAAAAATAAAATGGGTGTGGTGGAAAGCTACGCACTAATTACCTTATTACACATTGCCGCAATTTGAAGATCACGTTGTGAGACACTGAGACATTTTAGTCTGGAGGGTTAACTGGTGTATTTAATTTGCGTAATTACTTGTCTCAAATTTGGAGTACAGAGTATATTTTTACACATGTTTTTAATAAAAATGTGCCCCTTTATTTAAGCTACGTTGTGTGGGTGTTAGCTAGTATTTCACTTACTTTCTTATCTGCTCAATTACTTGCTTTTGAAGCTGTTTTAGCTATATTATTGTAAATTTCTCATTATTGTTTAAATATTATTTACCACCCTGTTCACACTATCTTTCACCTTTAGTCGACTTTCTTTTTAACTTATAAAACTGTACAAAAACCTTCTTAAAAATGCTCAAGTTTTTTCAAAAACTTGGCATTTCCCTAAAACGCTCACATTTACAACAGCATGGGGTCTTCAGGGAAACAACCTTTCTACTCCTAGGGGTGGAGGTAAAGTCAGCATACATTTGTTCCTCTTCAAACTCAAACATTGAGTCCGACATTCTAGATAAGTTTGGTTTGGTTTGGTCCTACGTCTTTTAAGCTCCTTTCATTTCCCCTTTTATTGTATGCTTATCTGTAGATTTTGGAACTAATTGTAGTGTCTCACCTTCTGACTTTTTAGTGGGCCCATATTACTTTTCTTCTTTTAAAAGGCGGAAATTGTAAGTTACAGAGTTAAACAATGTCAATGTCCCGTAGGAGAAAATTGTAATGCTGTGATTTTGTTGTGAGCTCCTTGACTTTGAGGTCTCTACGTGCAGCAGAAGAGAAAATCGCGTAAAAGCAGTTCTCAATCAACACTTTCACTATTAAGGAAGAAACTGCGAGAAGGAAATTTCCAGTCTCTGATAGCGGGAGGAGGGGGAGGGTCTTCTTCCTTTATAGCTCCTCCAAGTAGTGCTGCAGCACCTGACCCATTGACATCATTTATTCTGCCAATGGCGGATGACTTTGGGAATGGTCAGTTACACTCTTCTGCTGCAGCCATCTCTGCTAGGAAGAGCACATCAGAGAAGGTTCCGGAACGGTATGGAGTGATTTTAATGTTTTTTAGCCAACTTGTGTCATTATGAAATTTTACTTTTTGATGCATGTACATGTCTGTGAGCCATTTTCTTAGTACCTTTTCCTAAATACAGGTGAAGGGAAATTCTTATAAGAGTTTCTTGTTTTATGTTTTCAGTTCACATAATTCTTTTTCATTTTTTTAAAATTTCTAAAATAATGAACTTGTATAGTAAAACTGTTTTGTTTATGTGATGTATATTATATACTACAGAAATACATAATATTTAAAAAATGTTCTATAAATAGTACTCTCTCCGTCCCATTTTGGTTATCATGCTTTCCTTTTTGGGTTGTCCCAAAATGAATGTCCTATTTCCTTTTTTGGCAAGAAATATGTAGTCATTATCATTTCACTTTATTCTACTCAAATCTCAACCACATCTTTTACTTTTCAACCACTTTATTAGTAATCGTGCCAAATTAAAACAGAACAACCAATAACAACCAATATGAGACGGAGGTAGTATCAAAATCTGAGATGTTTAAAATAATGGGAACACGAAGATCGTGTTTCAATAAGGACAGTCTTGTCTGGTCTGTTCTAGCTATGCTGTAATGTGTATTGTGTTATGCAATGCAAGTCTAGTTGTGGTGTGGTGTATTATGTATTCGGGTCCAGTCTAGTTTTTTAGAGCTGATTTAGTAGACATGTACTGAAATAAGTCCAAGAAGTGAAAAGGTCTTGAATGGCACCATCTGAAGTGATATTGCAAATTGCTTATTTTGTAGAAAACAACCACCTCTATCAATCAAGGACAAAGAGGAGAGGACAAAGAGGAGCCAGTTTGTTCAAGGACTGCTGTTGTCCACCATTCTTCCCGATAACTTATTCGACAACTGAGCAGGTTTATTTCCCGGTGTATGAAAATCCAACCAACCTCGGAATAAGATGTACCGCTCTCGCATATGACGTTTTCCTCTCTCTGTATTGTAGAATAGTGGTTAGGGTGCCCACTTGTGTATGTGTATTTCTTTCCAATATAAGTTAAATGCATTGACAATACAGAATAAACTCTGTTATTGCCTTATCGGGTTCGGATTCAATGGTAGACTTGCACTGCTCATGGTGTAGATGAGATCTAAAGTAACCTTGTTCACATTTACCTAGGTAATGCATGAGCTTTTAGCGTATTTTATAATAAAACAAATAAAATGTGTCTTCTTTTGAAGTTTGTCCCTTGTACAGTCGTACGACAGCTAACATGACAACATAGCACATTGTTGAATCAATCTAAAAGGAAGTCGATTTTTAAGGTCAATCTTGAAAAGGCCATTATGCTAGCAAGATGAGAGAATGATGAGTTGTGACTTGGATGACCAAACCACACTAAAAGTCTGAGTTCAATAAATCAGAAAGTTCAACTCAATGGTCTTACTAACACTATCACAAGTTAGCAATCAGGCCATTTTTAATCTAATGGGTTGGTTATCTGCAAATTGGACTCCCATTTCAAGTTCCAAGCAAATAATTGGAAAAACAGAAGCTCAAACTTGATAATTCTTTGTCATGATACAATTCTGAAATCGGTTCTTGAAAAAAACTCACAAATATGTTGATATCATTCAACAAAGTCATACAGACTATGTTTTCTTGGTCCATTCAAGGATCTATATCGACCAGTCAGACAACTTTATCAGTTTTCTATTTTGTACCAAACTAGATAATTGGTTCTAGTTCCTTTAAGATTTGATCAGGCTGGACTAATTCCAATTCAAAACTTTTAAATAGCATAAAGGGCCAGAATTGAACCGAAACAAATTTGAGGACCAAAATACTAGGCTTAGGCTCCTCTTCTTCCTTTTACATCACCAGGACCTAGACCTGGAACGGTTCCCCGTGTCCATGCCAACACTTGCAACAGTTGCAAGAGGGATTACATTACATTTTTCTACTTTAACGTTCTTCTGTAATGTTAACTTATTTAGATACATTCATACATATACTCCCAAATCCCGGTGTGGGAGATTTTTAAATCATTCTCTGTAAACACAATTGAACAAGCTACCACAGTACCACTACTTATGTCCTTCAGCAAAGGTTCAACACAGCAAAATGACATGTTTATCAACAAAAAATGTATCACTTGCAATTGTTTAATCTGTATCCCCACCCACCCTTTTCGTCATTAAGTTTCAAGACTTTTATTATCTGAAGCATTAAAAGTTAAAAGGCGATGATGCATCTCTAATCCAACTTCCAAGAACCCCACCATACGAACTCTTAACCCCCAGTAGTGACATCTCCATTCTGTGCCCATCTCATCCTGTTATTACTAATAAATCGGCTTATTTGACGGTGTATTCTTCTCCTGCGTGAAACTGTGTAAGCCACAGATCTTGAAGCTGAAGAAGAACCAGACTGGTTATCTCTAGGGGATGAAGTGTTGAATGTTTGTTGCGCTAATGGAGTCTCAGGTACATACATCTCGTCCAGCTCACAACTCTCCTTCCTGCTGGTGGCTATAGAAGGCAGTCTACCATAATAGTCCTCACCTGTTGGATTTGAATTTTCTGGATTTTGGAAGCGAGGAGATGCTAGTCTACAGGCTTCACAGTACCAATCACCTTCAGGGACATCACTTCCAAGGCCGACGCAATAAGTATGTGCAGGTGAATCACATATATCACAGAGTAGCATATGTGCATCATCCCCGCCTTGTTGACATTCAGTGCAAATTACATTTTCATATGGATCAAGATAACCCCTAAGCTCTTCTTCAGATGGTACATAAACCTATATACATATATATAAATAGAACAATGAGAGTGGATATTAATATGGAAGTAAATAGCTTGTCAAGAAAGAACATAATTAAAAAGAAATTTGAACTGACTTGATCACGTTCAGGAACATGAATCACCACAGTCCTTGGTGATGGTGACTTTGCATCCTTGGTGATGGTTACAAATCTTTGCTTGCAAAGGGGGCAACGAGATTCAACCTTTGACCACTCCATGATGCAAGCAAAACAGAAGTAGTGGCTGCAGCAATTTAACATGCCATTGATTGTCTTTTTCTCTTCTTCAGAAAAACAAATCCCACAAACCTGCTTTCCTCCATCACTCTTCTTCAACTCCTCAACCACTGCTACCTTCTCCTTTCCCTTTCTTAGTGATCGCTTCTTCTGATGTTGACTGGTTTTTCCTTGTGGTGCATCAGTTGAACAACCTGGAATCATTGATCTATCACTCAAACGTGCATCAGTTGAACAACCTGGAATCCTTGATCTATCCCTCAAACCTCTACACAATTTATTAGCTTCTCTAATTTGTTCACTCTCTTCTTCAGAGATAATATACTCATGGTCTGATGATGCACAACTCACAAAGTCTGAATCAGAATCTATAATTAATCTTCTTTCCCTTTTCTCTTGTGAATAATTTTTCCTGCAAGTTTTTCTTGCTCCCTTCCTATTGATCTGCTTAGAAACTTTAGAGGTTTTCTTCCTTGTTTTCTTTGAGACTTTCGAGATAGTCTTCCCCTGCACCCTTTTTCTATTATTCTTTGTCAATTTCCGCTTTACCATTTTCTTATTCCCCCTCATCATATGCAAGTTTTCTTCTTCTTCTTCTTCTTCTTCTTCTTCTGTAGAATTAATCTCATCCGGGGTAAAGTCCACGTCATCATCATCATCTCTGTAAATAAACCGATCCCTCGTTTTCCGTTTTACAACACCATTGATCTCATTTGGGATAAATTCCTCTTCCTCCTCTGCCTCATCTTCCTCCTCATAATCACCATCATCATCGCTGTCATCACTGATCTCATCATCTTCTTTGTACATAACTCTTTTCCTTTTTCTTTGTTTTATAATGCTTTTCTGTCTATTCTGTGCTTTTGGTGGGGCATCATTCTTTTTAACAACTTTTTTCTGCTTGACATTCATAATCTCATCTTCTTCACTATCTTCACAGTCACCCAAACTGACTCCTGATGTATCCGCAACTAATGAAAATGATTCATCTTCTGAACAATCAAACAGCTCATTTTCACTGACACAGTAATCCTCATCTGATTGCTCATCATCATATTTATGATCAGATCTGACCCTCCTTCTATCGGTGTATTGCCTTGCCTTGCCCTTCTTTGCCATCTTCGCTCACAGCAAAACAAAATCTAAACGGCAATACTTGACTGAGAACGGAGAAAAGTCATAGCTTTATGATCCAATCATCCAATCAATGAATCAAATGTGTTGTAACAATTCTTCTGCACACATATACACAAACAGATGAATATCCAAATCCATAAGAGCTACTACACCTATACTCAAAGGTCCTGTCATAAGAGGCATAATCAAATGCTACTTTTCTGCATCTGCTAAAATCACGAATCATGAGGGAACTAAACTATGAGATTTTCACTAATATGTGTGTGCTCCACATGGAAATATTCGGATTTAGGGATATCAATATATACTCCTAAAGAGTACAATTTTTCTTGAGCAAAAAAGAGTACACTTTTAAGAATTATCTAGTAGAAATCCCAGCCGATCAAAGTTGCAAATGATATCTAAAGATGAAAACGTTTAAGCATAGGCCTCAGTTTCACATTACTTGCAAGGATTTCAATCTGCGAGTACGGCAAATCAACAGATGAGAAAAAACTACAATCGAAAAGCTTATATCATGCACTTAATTCAAATTCAACTCGAATACACTACCATTATTACAGAAAAAACTCAATCAAAACCCTAGAAAAAAGCACAATAACGAATAACAAACGGGAAAGGTATTACTTCCTTGAGTTTTCTCAAGTCTCAACCACTCTTGCAAGTCAAATGTCAATTCTAACTGCAGCTCACCGGAAACCACAATCACAACAATAAGAACAGTCTGTACCTTCTGTACCTTCACCGGAAACCCAAATTCATATCTTGTAGTTCACGAATCGAACAATAGTCCCGGAAAAAGAGGCGCAAACCATTTCCTTAAGCAAAAGTCGGAAGGAGATTAAGAAAATGGCGCACACGTACTTTAAACGAATCCGTCACTGTATTTGTTGACTAGTGTCTTTTGGATTCTATCAAGGGCCGATCAAATAATCGAAATGGGCCACACATCGAGGGCCCAATACAACTTCCATGGTCCAAAACTAAAATGAAGGCCTAATAATGTAGTGGAAATATCCCGATTCTGTCAGTTTTTTGTTTCGCATATCATTTATGTCCACCCATAAAATACTTTTCATATCTCAACTTTTAACATTTCAAATTTATTTTTTTATATTTCAAAAGTAGCCTGCATCCTAAATCAATCGCACGCTCAAACAAAAAATCATCCTCCGCTCAGACTTATCTCCTTTAACCCTCTCCTCCCTTCCTCATCCCGCCATGTCTTCTTCCATCCATACCTTCGGCCTCCACTACTCCTCCAGTCTCATCTATTTACTCCAATCCTACGAATTCATCCTCTAGCGTACAATCATTCGGCTTCCCCCTTTGTGACTCTGTGACGCATCGACGCCAACTCGCCGGAGTGGCCAGTCACCGCAACATAGGATGCCAATTCGCCGATCGCTTCTTCGTCCTTAAAGCATGAAAGCCTCGCCGGCACTACTCCTAGGATCATAGCTGACGAACAAATTCAAGTAAAAGGTAATTTCTCCAGGCTCCAGCTTCCTTAATTTGTCTGCCATCTCCCTCCTACTTGATTCCCGACTTTTTAAGTTCCTAACCTAATTTTTTCAAGGTAAGCTCAAATTTACTTGTCGATTTGTAAATTTGTTGTTCAAAAAGCTGAAGTTGCTGATTTGTATGCCATTATAATCTGAATTATGAAAGTGCTTAATCCGTAAGCCTGTTCTTGCTTAGTTTCTATTGATTTTATAATTACTATTAATATTAAATTTCGATTATGATATTTTGCTTTTTGTTATGCTTTTAGATTCAGATGTCTTGAATTAATTTCTACTTCGTATATAACTTTAGTTGTGATTTATATTTTTATTTTGATTTCAACATCTAGCAGATGAACTGTTACTAAGTTCAGAGAAGAAACATTGTTTTGTATGTTGCTAATGAGACAGAATCTGCAGGGCATCCATTCAACATTTTTTTGAAGGATTGAAATTTCAATCAGTGAAAAACCTGGGAAATTTTCATCATCCTCCCTCTCATACTCAATGGCAGCGACTTGCTATTTTACAAAGGAGTTAGGAGTGTGTTGTGCTATTCTGCAAAGGAGTCAGCCACAACTCTTCCAAAGCTAAATGAAAAGAATCAAAGGGAAATTATACAATAGTTATACAATAGTTTTGGTGTCTTAGCATGCCTGTCTAAATGAAAATTGATTGCTTAGAGTGCATGCTATTTTAATTGGCCATTCTATGCCATCTTTTGAATTGATCCATGGTTGATGACCTTATTCTACCCTAATGCAAACCGATTAGTTTGCATGTAAAAAATTTTGTTTTGTTGCTCTTTGTTGTAATGAATATGTTGCTTATTGTTGCATCGTGTTGCAGTTTGTTGTATTGTGTTGCATTTTGTTGCCTATTTTTTACTATTCAACCTGATTTTTGTTGTTACTTCGATTTATATGTATAATGTGTTGTTTGGAATAAAAACTCATATATAGGTATATATACAAACACCTAAATGGAGAGTGGCGTCTTGATAAACACCGATCTTAATTCTCTAGCATTTCCTTTCATTTCTTGTGGATCTCAACAAATCTTGAAGATGAGAGAGTGCATATAAATCCACATGTGTCAATCTGGAATCAAGATTGGAAATGCTTGCTAGTAACTAACTGCCTCGGGTATGGATTTTTCCCGATGGCAATATGCCTGGTGGCAAAACACTATATTGAGCTAGTGTTTTGTTATACAGTTTTCAATATGATACACTTGTGTTGTAATTTGTGGCAGTTTTCGAGATTAACGAGTGAACGAAGACAAAGAAGAAAAACTAATGGATTGTGTGCTGGAATCCATAAGTGGAAGAAGAATGTGAAGAAGCAAAATTGAGTTATACATTGAGTTAACAAGTTGAATTATATACCTGTGACGCTTCTGAATGGTTGTTTTTGTTTCTTATTGTTGTATCATGTGAATGACTTTTTGTTGCATCATGTTTCTTTTTGTTGTAACATGTTGTTTTTTGTTGCTTGTTGTAACACGTTCTTTTTGCATCATGTTTTTTTATCATTGTATTGTTTTTATCTTTAATATCATATTTCTATGTAGATGTAGAAACAAACACCTAAAATGATAAATTTAGATTTATGAAAGTAAACTACAATTTGAAACATAAAAAACAAAATTTTTAATAATTTTAAGCAAAAAAGAAACACATAGAAACAATAAACAAAAAAATAATAACATATTAATAACTTAATAGTTTAAGTGCTTTAAGGAATATTACATTATAAAATTCTTATTTTTTATTTTAAATTTTTAATTTTTTTTCCGAGTTCATTATTTTATTTCCCCCCATATTTTTATTCAATGAGTTTTTTTATTCATTGCGTTTATTTTAATTTTAAAGTCTTTTGGGTTACATTAATTTTCTGATTTTTTAAAAATTTATGTAATATTTTTTTTCCACTGTAATATAAAATTTAATTTAACTTTTCAAATGATTTCAGATTTTTATATTTATTTGAATTTTTATTTTCTTTAATATGTATATTTTCAAATTTTTTTAAAAAAATTATGTTTTCGTAAAAGGTTCCGATTAATTTTCATCTTTTAATCTTACTTTACTATTTTTTTTAATAATTTTATAATTATAGACTTATAGTATATACTATAACAGTGAGCAGATTCTATATAGATTAGAAAGAATTGGTCAAAAAGAAAACAAATTACAGTTATAGTTTTTTAAATATTTTATACTTTTTAAATAAAAGTTTTGATTTTTTTGCTTTTTTTTATAGTCAAAGGGGCTTTAGATTAATAAAATAGCATTCAGCAGGGGTACAGGATAACAAAAGGACCACATGTAACCATCCGCCCTTGACTGAGACTCTGAGTTAATCACCTTTGACAAAGCAATATAACTTGCTAGACCTAAATTGGGCAGCATACAACCAATGATGATTATCGTAGAACTCTCATACCTCAAATCTAATGCAACAGTCTTACAGTATAAAATAAAATAACAACAAAACACAGACGTCTTATCCTGAAAATTAAAATGCAGAAAAGATAAAGAAGCAAACTCCAAAACGCTTAGATCAACCCTTGATTTTTTTGCTATGTAAAATGAATTATATTATCTATTTAAAATGCTACATAAAAAATCTCAATTTTTTATCATTTTAAGATTCCTACATGTTTATTTTTTCTAAAATTTGTAGAGTTTAAATTCATTTTGTTTAATTTTTAAATTTGATTTACAATTTTCCAATTTTTCATTTTTTGGATTCTTTTTTATCTTGAGTTTAAATTATTGTTTTATAAGCATTATCACTATATGAGTTGATTAGAAAATAAAAAGTTGAGTGCTGCACCGTGGCTTCTTACTTTAATCGAAGCTGGATGAAAAGCGAAGCATTGATTCACTAGCTAACTCGGTGCTTGAATAAGAAATTAGAGTCGGCAGACTTTGTACGGGCGGTCTATTTTTGAAAAGAAATGCGGATGTAATCTATATTTGAAAGAAGTTTTTAAGGTGATAAAAGTGATATTATTTTCACTTTTTAGTCTATTTGTGAAAAATTCCCAACAATGTACGGCTAATTAGTCCTAAATAGAGGTAAAATACTCCTAAATGCAATAATAGCATTATATACATTTTATTCTCAAAATATAAGTTATATATGTTTCATCTTCCTAGTTTACCCCTTTATATATTTTTATTAATAAGACTTATTTTTATTAAATTTATTAAAAAAAGACTTATTAATAATAGTTTTATAGAAATAAAAATTGGAAATATATTTATCAATTCGTAATAAAAACGTGAAAAATTAAAAAAAAAACTTAAAAAACACCTAAATATATTTAAAATGTAAGCCTCTGCATCCTCCACCTGCCAACATCGCATCTGATTACCGAGAAAAAATGTTATCTCGTATAAAAACATCATAAAAATGTCATGAAGATGACATTTCTACTCTTTGAAAATATCAAATTTTGCTTTCAAAACTGCCATCATGATGACATTTTTCAGATTCACATTTTTTCTCCGACAGAAGGTAGCTGGAGTGGTGGTTGAGGTCTGTAATTTTTTATTTTTTCTTAACATTTTTTATTTTACTTTTTTATATTCTATTATTATTGAAAATCCTATTAAAGCAGGGTAGGATAGGAAGAGTTACTCCTATAATTTTTGAAATGAAGAATTACTCCTATCTTAGAAATTTAAATTGTATACTCTTATTATTACAAGTTTGCTTTTATTTAATCATATTTAAAGAATGGTCCCTAAACAATAATGAAACCATTAGTCGTGCGGTCAAACTTGTGATGCCATGAAATCAGACTTCGTGGTTAAAGACTTGGTTAGGTTTGGGCAAGAGTGGTGTTTTAGGTATAGTAATTCTTGCTCTGCTTTAAAGATGTCTGGTTGACAAGGATTAAGAAATGTCAATTATTCAAAGGGTGAGTTAAAGGAAAATGAGTAGAAGAAAGTGTTTGAGAGATCGAGTCAATTATTCAAAGGTTGAGTTAACAGAAAATAAGTAGAAGAAAGTGTTTTAGAGTGTTAATTATGGGTTGAGCCTGATATTAAAACAATCTCTTCCTTTCAAAGGCTTAATTTTTTGAATTTGTTAGATGAAATAAGATGGGTATAATAGGTTTTTTTAGGACAATATTCTCAAGAAAGTTTGTACAAGGGAATAAAGCCTTACGTACTCTTTGTCTCCGATCTCTTTTTTTTTTTTTTTTTTTTTTTTTTTTTGAAATCTTTGTCTCCGAACTTAAATATTGGATTGACCTGAGTATCATTCTACTCATCTATATATTGTTTTGATATCTTGAGTAAATTGAGTATGAGGTACTCATATATTGAGTTTGTATATCTATTTAGTAGCCACAGGG